TTTTGCAACACAGGAGATGAATTATGAAACTGACTGGAAACTTGTGACTATTTTCATCGGAACAGCAGACATTTGTAATTACTGCTTGGATCAAGTAAGTTATATACATGTGTGGTAAAAAAAAAACAAAAAAACTTTTTCAAGCTATTTTAATGAATTGTTCACCTGAATTTTTTTTTACAGAATAATTTGTCACCAAAAAAATATATCGACAACCTAATGCTTAGTTTGGACAAGCTGTATGAAGAGGTAAAAAAAACAAAAAAAGTATGCAATAAAGTGCTCACACATGATAAAATACATTGTAATGGTCTGTCTCTTTTCTCTGGGTTTTCTAGATGCCAAGAGTTTTGGTCAATCTGGTAAATATCATGCAGATGGATGTATTTAAAACAGTCAAAAAGGACACATTGGGCTGTTCACTGCTGCAAAGGTTAGTTCTCAAGCCTTGAAACACATGTTTTAGGACTTAATTACATAGTGTTAGATGACAGATATAGGATTACACAATATGAATGTTAATGTTTGTTTACTGTAATATTTTATGCTTATAAGTAGTAAAAGTATGTGAAACTTTGCTTTAGGAATTGTCAGGATCTCCACAAATATATGGGTAAAAAAACAAAAGATTTAGCTGATTATCTCAACCATAAACCACATAAAATTATTTGATGTATATTTTGATATTGCTAGGTTATTTTTACAGTTTCCTAGTCATGCATAATTCATTATCTTCTCTGTAATGAAAAGGTTTTCTGATCTAAGAATATCTCAATGTGTTACTATTAGGGTGAGAGGGGATTATTTTATGAACCTACCACACATGCATTCCATTATCATATTGGTGATTCACGATCACCCAAGCTATCGAAAATCTAAATCAGTAAAGTTCAAATGTTCTAATCTAATGAGTGGCTGAAATAGACAGCCCATTCATAGATGTCAATCAACTGACTGGCAGCTTTTTATATAGCTAAAAAAACAAACCATGAACTTTTATCAGATGAGGTACTAATTTATAATCACAGGTAATTATTTTTAAATCCTTACTGGTGGTTTATAATTTATTATTCTCTGTAAAGAAACTAAAGATTACAAAATGTGTTTTTTCATTCATATAGTTCCAGCTGTCAGTGTATTATCGGTCCACATAGCAGCTCTCCACAGTTTGAGGAAATTAAACTAATAAATCGCAATTACCAGGTAATAACAAAATAGCTTTGAATTCTAAAAGGTGTTTTTCTTTTATGATAAAGTAATTATCTTTGTTTTTCCAGACTGAGATTGAGTATCTTATTTCTGGAGATCGCTATGATGGAAAGGAAGACTTTGCTGTTGTATTGCAACCCTTTTTCCACTATTCCTTCTTCCCTCAAACTGGAGTGAGCCTCAGAAAACATAATCAGACAAGAAAAATAAAACAATGTATCATGCAAATTAACTAATGTTTTATATAACTGATTTTTAACAGACGGGTGAGACAGACACAAGTTTCTTCTCTGTGGACTGTTTCCACATGAGTGAACGGGCTCATGCAGAGATGGCCATCGCACTGTGGAACAACATGGTGAGCTTTGTGCACTTGTGAAGAAAGCCCATGTCGGGTGCATCTACTTTGGATTGTTTGAAGCAACGTTTTTGTTGTTGTCTTTCCTGTTTCAGCTGGAGCCTGTTGGAAGGAAGCAGACATACAACAACTTCACACACGATCGCTCCAAGATTAACTGTCCCTCTGAGGTATCTATATATCTCATCGATTTATGCAGGAATTCCCCTGCAAGTTTAAGTTTATTGTTTAAGATACATACATACATACATACATACATATATATATATATATATATATATATATATATATATATATATATATATATATATATATATATATATATGTGTGTGTGTTTTAATTGTATACTTGTGTACAGCACTTGGTCAACTGTGTTGTTTTAGTTTAGCTGCATAAAATTCTTTATACAGTACTTGTGCAATTCTGTACATCTTGCCATGAAATCCTCGATTTGGGCTTTTTTGGTATTTTTTATTTTTTTACAGTGTGTGTTGACAAGAGTTTCAGATAGATTTTTAGAAATTATCAGCATTTATTTCAGATTTTCCTTAATAGACGTCAGGTCTAAATACTGCTTATTGCCCTGCATTTAATGTTGTAATTAACAAGCTTTTTGCATCATTTTGGGTGGATATATGAACACTTGCTGGATGAATTTTTTACCTTCATTTAATTTTTTAAGATTAATTGTGCAATCTAACTTTCAAATAATTTTCAATTGGTTAGCGATGTAACTTTATGAGGGCTGCAAGCAATGATTATTTTGTTTATCGATTAATCTGTACATAATTTTTTCAATTAATCGATTAATAACCGGATGGCAAAAGGTTCCTTGGAGAAGATTTTTTACAGATTTAAGCCAGGTGAAACTAAAATGTTTCCACTTAAGGAGTTCAGGATAGAGCATATTGACAGACTACAAAGTTAGGTTGTTTTTTTAACGTAAATGCAAAATATTTAAAAATATATATATATATTTTTTTACAATTTTCATATAATTACTGCTCTAATGTAGTTGCTAAATTACTGAATTTGTTGACGATTATTTTAATAATCAATTTATTCATTGTTTCAGCCCTAAACTTTAGTGTGGCCATTTAAGAAAGTTAATTTTGGCCATCTTTTTTCATCCACACTAGATTTGATGGCTGTTAGAATGTAATCTTTTCTTTGTTTTTCTGCAAACCAATGGTGACAAAACAGACCTTTAACACAGACCTATCACTGCCATGTTTCAAACTAGGTAAAGTTTTCTTAGATTTTGAATCTTTGCCTTGAATCCTCCAAACATACACCATTGTTTCTGTGTTCTTTTGACTTTTCCTGCTTATCATCCTCCTACTTGTCGCCCAGGCAGAAAAGTGGTTTTAAACACACAACTTTTCTACTGGATCTACTGGAACAACCTTCCTAAAACATAGGTTTCCCTCTACCAAAAAACAGCCAATTTAAATAAATAATCTTTTCTAGTAAAAGTGGCCAAGTATTTGGGCAGAACTATGCAAAAGCTTGTTAACGATAATATTGTGTGGTTTCATGTAAACACTAGGAAAATGCTGTTAGTATTCTACTGTAATGAGCTACTGTTAGTATTTCCAAATTAAAAAATATACTTATATGCTTGATATTGAACACTACATCTAGTACAACTTCAGACTGTTTATTGTACAATTTCATATTTTTCCACAGACCTCCCCCTTTATCCGCACTAAGATCAACAGTCAAGCATCAAGCCCTGAAAGCACCTCCACCACCGTTCAAGTATGGGTGCCCGTGGTTGCAGGAGTTGCAAGTTTACTGGTTGGCGCCCTCATCTGCTTCCTCATTATGTCCATTGTTCAACGTAAAAAAAACAAGAGGGGTGGAAACTGAAATCCTAACTGAGCAGCTGGGTTTTGAATTTGTGACATGGGTTTTAAAACTACATATTAGTTTCCTATAATGACCTTTTCATTGGTTCCCACGCTCCATAGCAAGATTACTGTGATACCTTTGTTTAGTTTGGTGACGTTCACCACCAGTTGGTCTGTTCCATCCAGCTGCAAAATTTCTCTGAAACTTTCGTGACCAACTAATTTTGTAAAGGCATATTGTTGTAATTTAAACGCAATTTTACATTTCTCAAATTAAAATTGTATTTATTGGTAAAAACGAATGGTTGAAGGTTTGAGGGACCTAAAAAAAAAAGTGTTTTATTTTACTGGAGTCTGATATGTCTGAGTGTGTTCTTCATTTAAAACAAACAATAAAACATTTAGATAATATTTATAACTTTTTATTTACTAACTATATTGATTCAGGCACTTACAAATGAGCAAAGCAGATTTATAATGATCCAAAAACCATAAGATTTTATTGACATATTTAGTAATTTATGGGCTTATGGGTTAAACTTACATGAATGTTTTGACTTCAAATTTCTTATATTCATTTTATTTTCACATTCATCTCTAGCTTTGTGACACAATATGCACAAAAACACCATAAAAATGAGTTCTTATCAAAGAATAAAAAAAGAGATTTTACTTTTCTGTTAAATTCAGTTTTTATTTGACATTGATAACTAAAACATTGATAAACATTAGACTTATCCCCCTCAGACCTATTAGTTTTAACTAATTAGAATAAAAAAACGTATTCAAAAAAGTATTAAAGCAATTTTCTATTTTAAACAAGTGTTACATAAGGATCACAAGCTGAAACCTTTTACAATAACTGCATTTATTGTTTAAAAAAAGGCAAAAAATGTATAAAAGCAACTACTTATAAGTTTGAAGGGGTTACTCTTGGCACCTTTTTAAAACGACTGCTTTTAAACAAAGCTAATGTCAAATAACCACTTTGAAGTCTGTTGATAACTTTAACCAAATATGACAAAAATGGTTCTTTTAACAATAAATATATTTCTTTCAGTACATATTAGTAGTAGGGCTGTCCATCTAAACCCCGGATCCTAAAAAAAGCAGAGCGACATATCAGTGGTTCTAAAAGAGTTTTGGTTCAAATCATACTAAAGAAGAAAAGCCTTTTGAAAAATAAATTCCTATTGTTTATATCATAAATCACCTCAAATGAACCTAATTTCTGGAAAGGTGCCAAACTATTAGCAGCTGCACCCATATCTGATTACTGCCAAACCCATGAAAATAACTTTGACAAAAATTGTCACACAGTAAAGTAGTTAGAGAGCAACCATGAAACAAAGTCAATGACATCAACCAGGTTGCAAAGTTTAACCAAAGTTAGAGGGATTGGAGAGGACATGCTGAGCAGAAAAACAATACTCCAAAGAAACATCAGCTACCGATCAGGAGGAAAGGAAAGAACTAAGAACACCTGAAGCCCTGCAGGCCTCATTTGTGTTAAAGAGACTGGGAATAAAAAGAAACTATCCTCTGAGTTTTGATGCTAAAACCACTGCTAATCAAAAACAAAGACTCTCAAATTTACAAATAAAATAACATTATATGGGAGAGACTTTTCCCAAAACTATTTTGTGGAAAGAACAGGATAAAAAAAAAACATGAATTTTGCTTTGAAGTAAATTCTCAGGCCAAAGTTTCTTAACAAGATTATAAAAGAAGTATTGTGGCAAAAAAAAAAAATCAAATTGTCATAAAAAAAAAACAAAAAAAAAAAACAGAAGACAGAAATAGAAGGACCAAGAACTTCTTTTGTCCCAGACCGCCATCATGACAGTCCTCATTCTGACTTAAGGGCTTGCTGCACAGATGGTGGCACCCTGCTGACGTAGTAATCATGATTGCGTAGTGTAGCAAGAACCCCTGCAGAGTTCATGTGCTTTACATCTGCATTATAGCAATAAGTATTTCCAAACATGTCGGTCAGTCTTCCTGTACCAGGAAAAAAAAAAAAACAGATGAGATCATTTATCCTTAACATCATCATTTACAGAAAACCTCTTTTGAATGCTTAAAAACCTTTGTTACCTCCGACAGCATGTAGTATTGCCTCTGGAGCACAGGTATCCCATTTTTTACACCCTGGACTGGCAAAAACATAGGCAGAAGCTTTCCCTTCAATGAGCTGGATTATCTGAAGAAGGGGGAATCAATTAGCTGGAGTTCTTAAAATATAAACCAAATCTCTTTTTTGTGCAATTAGGTCACTGCAATAAAACAATAACAATAGATATTTCAAAAGACACCTCATCAATATTAATAGAAAATATTTTTTTTTTTATAATACTTTCAATGATTTCACTGAACTTTAATCCAGAACTACAAAGCATTCTGGGTGATGTAGGCAAATAATCTAACCTCTCGACTTTTTGTGGTCAAATTAAACTAAGCAAAGTTGGTTGTAGGACTGACCTACTTCTAAAGATTAAGTTTAAATAGGGTCAGGGTTACAATTTAAATGTTGGCTTTTTTTCCACGGTCGATTTAGCTTAAAATAAAAAAACGAATCAATATTTAAAAATATCAACTAATACCAGATGCTCATATCGTGATACACTCTTCAGGCACATCGCAGAGAGTTAAATGCAAATTTAAATATTTCAGTGTCATGTGTACAGTATATTCCGGACTATAAGCAACTACTTTTTTGCCAAGCTTTGAACCATGTGGATTAAGAAGGTGCAGCTTTTCTATGGATTTTTTTCCCTAACCGCCAGAGGGGGAAGTCAAAGTTGGAAATGAAAGAACAAGGGGCTTTCATTTAGCACAATGACATGCTAGCAGCAGGCACAATGGAGAACAAATGTCCCAAATTTACACATTTTCTATTTATTTGCTGCATTAAAGCTGCCAAACCAAGGAAGAAACTGGGCAAAACTCCTGCAGAGCAGAAATAAAGAGCTGACGAAGCCCCATCTTTCAGTTGAAGATCTTACTGCTGCGAACAAACAAGCTAACAGGAGCTAGCATTCTTCTTCATCCCTTCTCTGGTGGCTATATGTAGAGCTCCCTCTACAGGTTTAGTAGTAGACAATTCAGTAGATATCAGTGGCTTATAGCCTGTGCAGCTTATATATGTACGTTTCCAGTTTTTTTGTTGTTGTTTTTTTTTTTATTCAGTGTGCGCAGCTTATAGTGAGGTGTGCTCTATAGTCCAGAAAATACAATATTAGCTTTATTTTTAAACCAATCTCCAAGCAGATCTATAAACTCTGATCCTCCTTTAAAGCTTTATGTCCAAATAAATGAAAGTGTTCTAACATGTTTCCCATTCTGTACGTTTACAACATCTGGAGCACTTAAAAGTCGTAGGCAGGCGGCTGTTCCAACCGTTGCATTTTCGAATTCTTCCGAGTGGTGCCCAACTTTACAGTAGTGTATAGAGTGAATGTGATTGGTCGTTTACCAAGGGGGCGGGATTGTTGTGGCGGAAGATTTGCAAGCAAGTTCGGTTGTGGCCGGTGTCTCAGAAGCATCTTGCTAACTAGTTAGCAACTTAGTGCTAGTAGGTTCCCAATGGGAAATTACATTGGGACCAAGTAGCACTAAATTGGTGATGTAGAAACGAGGCTGTCAAGGAACGCTATGGACAGCGGAAACATGCAAGAGGAGGAGAGTTTTGTGTCGGAGTTCATGGATGAGTCTCCTCCGTCATACATTTTTTATTATAGGAGGAAAGCGGGGACGAAGATGTTCTGGAAGATGACACCAGGGCGGCCGAAGCTTGGTTTGGTGTAGAAGGCTTACAGCCGTACATGTTTGAGCCCTTCTCTCGCAACGCTGCCAGTTCTGTTAGCTCTACGCCTGCTGAAGACACAGACGTCCATCCCCACGACCACTGGGACGTACTCAATGGTAAAGCAAATGATTCTTATTTCTTATTTCAACCGTTGCGTATATTAGCTTCTAAAATATGAATCAAGATGCTATGACCGAATAAATGTTATTCACAGACTATCGTTGATATACGATTGGCCGAATTTAGGTGTACAAGCTGACGTATAACTAACTGGCCTGCATAACATAATGAAAAATCAGAACAGATTTTAAGATAGGATTTTTTTTTAAATAGATATTTTCTAAATTTTAGGACAATATAGTCTGATAAAGAGTACATTTATGTACATATTTAAGCCAGAATGATTTGACATTCAAATATGACTTCCCTACAGCTTTAAGCTTCAAATCCGACTCACCTTGTTCCCAGCACCCCCTACTCTTATAACTTCGTGAGGCTCCATGGCGTTAACACAGTCTGTCACTGTCTTGTTGCTATGGGAACGGGTGGTGGTGACAATTCGCTTATCAGCTGGAACTTCCCGCAGCTCGAACCCAAATGCGCCCAATCCAAGCATTCCCCACATCGTTCTCCCTAAAGCTGCTCCTGATCCAAGCTGGTGAGAAAGGCACCAAAACAAGTTAGTGGTGCATCTTTTAAAGCAAAGATGCAGATATTTCACAGGCTGGTTTGAACCTGGTAGTTGTAGAATGGCTGGTTGATGACGCCGGCAATTGCTCTGCCTTCATAAGCAATACCAATGAGAACTGTCACGTTGTCCAACAGCCCTAAATCCAGAAACGAGAAGTTTAGTTGAAGTAAAAAGGCTATATTACCACCTTTTGTCTGACTGGGAAATAATTCTGAAGTGGCCATTAAAAGTGCACATTCTACACTGCCATACACATAGCTGTGCCGTGAGTCTTGTTCAACCCTTTGAGTGGTTTCTGGACAACATCTTGAAGATGGAGACACCTTGAAGCTGAAGGCAGCAAAGAAAGGACAATAGAGAGGAAGGTAGCAGAGGAGTCCAAGGAAATAAAAAGAAACGCAAACGCTATGAAACTTATGGTGTAGCAGTGAGGAAAGAGAACCAAACCAATCAAACTAACTGGTGCACAGAATAATCAGCAGCCAAAAACTCCTGGGGTAATTAAAATCTGTGGATACTTGATTTTTTATTTATTTTTTTTAACCCTTTTTGGCTCCATTTTGCCGTAAGATTTATTTTATCATCAAGAAGAATTTTTAGAAAATGCTTAAAAAATAATTAAAAAAAACCCACTGACCTTCAGTATATTCCTTTGTGCCATCAAGGGGATCCACCCAAACAACTAGCTGTGAATCACACAAACATTTTACAATCAGACATGCATACGGTAAGGAAGGACATTTTAAACCCTCTAAGAACTAAAAAAAAAATTATGTAAGCATTTTTCCTTTCTTCTTTCTTCTTACTTCTTCTTCTTTGAGTGCCTTATAATCTTCTGGACAGCTTTTCTGAAGGATTTCTTCTGCTTGGCCACTCTCAATCAGATCCTCCTGCACCTCCTCAGACGGAAGATCCTGCAAACAACAGAAAGCAAAGATGCATTTTATTGATCTGATTTAACGTAATAAAGTTTTATAAATGACTCAGTACTCAGTTACCTCCTCTCCAATGATGGTGATGTTGGGGAAACTTCTGTACAGTGAGGCACAAATGCTTTTCTGTGCCAGTCGGTCTGCGAGCGTCTGGAGATCATTAGCTCCTGTCTGTGCAAAAGATACAAAAATACATAAAAATCAATTTAAGACTAGTTCATTTCTCCACTGGTCTGTCCTTCCAAATAAATCTAGACAGCTCATACCTTTTCTACGATGCCAAGATCTCCGCTGTGAAGCACCTTCCTTACTATGGCCCCAGCCTTTTCAGCCACTGAATAAGCCGACGCCACCAGCCGCATCACCACAGCAGGATTACCAGACATTTCTCTGTAGTTGATTGCCGGTAACTCTTAAAGAACCTGAGAAAAGTCAAATCATGAATACTTTAGCTTGAATATGTCATTGGTAAATACAGAAAGTTTATCACATATTCAAATAGGATTCTGACCAAACAGCAAATCAAATAACAGAATATTCTTACATCTGTAACAGAAAACAGTACAGAGCATGTTAAGCTCCCTGATGCTTGTTAAAGAAGTTACTAGGAGTTAAGTATGGCAGGTGTTCATTCAAAATAACTGGGTTATTTTTCAAACTGTGAACATAGATAGAAAACCTTTAAACAAGACATTTATTTTATAACAATCTTTTTAAATAAATGTCTTGTGTAAAGTCTGTTAGAAATTGGAGACTGAGACACAGCAGACTGCAAGGAACAAAGCTTCCTTTTAATTTAGACACTTGCAAGTAAGGGTGTGCAAAATAATCGTCATGACGATGCATCGCGATTCTAATTTTTGTGATCTACTGCATCGATTCTTGAAGGCAAGAATCGATTGTTACAAAAAAAAAAGAACAAATAAAATACATTAATGGTTGGCGCACATCAGCCAAACCAAGTGGAATACAACTTCCAGTCCAGCAGATGTCGCTGCGGATGTGTTGACGCTCGCTGCCTTGTGTCACAAGCATGTCCGGCCGTGGGATACTGCGACGAGTCATATGAAATAAAACATGGAGGACACTATGAAAATTTGCCCCGCAGCTACATCACATTTCAAGTTAGATGCTTGGATGCATTTTGGCTTTAAAAACAAAGCAGGTAAAAAGGAAATTGATATGATGCACGTCATTTCCAAAAGGGGAAATATACATTTGAATGTTTCATTGGTTTAAAGGACCACTGAGGCCATGTAAACGGCACTGATTATCCTTATTTTGTTATTTTAAGTTTGATGAATCTTAAAATCTTTTTGTCAGTGTGTCCATGCCTGTAATAGTAATATTTGTGTCCAGTATTTGTTTTCATGACAACACCTCCAAAAGTCATTTCCATAAATACAGCTATGTATGAATTCAGTTGCTTTCAGTTATGTATCAATTGAAGACACTATCCAGATCATACCCAGCCAGTCAGCCACTGGTAAGGGCTGTATCTTTTTCTTACAGTGTTCAGTGAAAATATCGCAATGCATCACGATGCATTGCGATATTTTCACTGAAGTATCACTTCAAGTATCGTGATGCATCGTGATAGAATCGCATCGTGGCATGTGAATCGTGATTTGAATCGATTAACGAATTTTTTGCCAATACCCACCCCTACTTGCAAGTGGAGAGCTCACAGTTACACAAAATCTCTCCGTGAGCTCTGACTGGGGTGGCTCATTCCCCCTCTACATATAGATCACTTTTGTGCGTAAAAGAGGTTACAAAACATTAACAGAAACTCTTTTGCACAACACAATGGTTTCCACAGAACTGACCTCTTGAGGTGTTTCCTTGTAACTGTTTTACTAATTGCTCTTGCTTGTTACTGTTTAAACAACACCTAATTCATTTTCATCAATTCATTTTTTTTTAACAGTGTCCTGTCTGGCAATGTGGCAATAAGAATAATTGATAATTGATACCAAAACGAGCCCAACAAATTTTACTTTCACAAGAGGAAAAGTACGGCAATCGCCATAGTGCTCCGCTTGTTTTATGCATATAAATTGCTTTATTATAATTCTGCAGGGAGTTTTACAGATTACTGCAATGTAGGTAGAACAGGAAAGGAAAAACAGAAAAAAAAGGAGAAAAGATGAAAGAAAGAGGAGATAAAAGGGAGATAATGATAAAACATATTCAGTCTACTTCATCACCTGCAAAGAGATGTAAAAAGGATAGCACAACCAACGGACATGTTACAAGACATACAATAAAGTAACACCTAGATACTATCGCTGAAGTGTAAGTAGCATTATTTAATCTGACATGTACTCTGTTACCTGAAGATAAGAATATGGGCTTTCTGTATGGAAGTGAATCTCTAAGTACCTGGAACCAATAACCAATGTAAACAACACCTATTTCAAACTGACCATTCCCAGCTTCTGCACAGATGTTTATCCTGTTAAGAAACTCTGCAAAGTTTTCCGCAAGGTCATCTTACACCCTTGTGATGTTCAACAAATATACTGTTTGCTTAAAAATAAAGATATAAGTTGAGTCACACTTGTTTAAATCAATATGAGCTAGACTGGATGAGTGAGTTAGTCAATAAAGAGAATAAGAAATGGATGATCAGTCCCAATGATTCGTACTCTGGGTCGATAACAGCAGCAGGCTGCTAGGGCTGCAACTAACGATTATTTTGCAAATCGATTAATCTGTCAGTTATTTTTTTTATTAATCGATTAATAATCGGATAGTAAAAGGTTCTATAAAGAAGACTTTTGGCGAACAGAACCAGTTGAAACTAAATCTTTTCCTCCTGAGGAGTCCTGTATAGAGCATATTATCAGACAAAAAACTTTTTTTTTTATCTAAATGCAAAATGTTTATATTTTTTTACAATTTTGGTATAGTCCCTGCTCAAGGTGGGTTGCTATGTCAGCTTAAGGCATGTTTTACAGTCTCTTTACTCCAGTTAACGATTAATCAATTAGTAAATCAGTTGATGATTATTTTGATAATAGATTAATCACAATTAATCCAATCAATTTTCTCAGCTATATTTCCTTCCCTTTTTTTACAAGAACCACTTTTAATATGCAGCCCTACAAATTTAAATAATCAACTGAACCTGAGTTTAATACAGGATGCATGTAACTGACTCATAATCTAGTCTTTATGATTGGATTGAATTTGCTTTCTTGGCAAGTACTTTTAGATTACATACATTGTGAATTTGAGCTTTATAAATAAACTGAACTGAATTTAACTTATGACAGCTAAAAAAATATCACAAGACACTGCCCTTAAAGTGCCGAGCAACAACATCTTACAACAAACCAATAAAATCTGTGGGTATAACAAACAAGAACTGATTAAACACAGCACAGCTGCTTATAATTACTTTCCCTCTGGACCCTGTTAATCATCAATATCCTAAAAGAAAAATTGCCTATTATATTTACTCTCTTCACTTGCACACTCATTTAACTACATCAGATACATGCATGGATCCACAAACAGACTGAGCCTTATGCAGATCGATAAACTTATCTTGTCTATATAGTCCATTAACATGAACACACAGTTGTATATGAGCTTGTGCAGCATGCAAGGTGGCAGCAAAAACACAGACAAATATTTGACTAAAACGGCTTTTTTATTACGGTAATCTTATGCTACAGTAAGTATTTTATAGTTTTTTCTTAACACCTCTAAATACAGGTGTTGTAACAGGATAATAATATGCTCCAAAAAGGTAACATCTTTCGTATCTTTAGTAATTGCTAAATTGTTACATGGAGCATAAAGACTCTAAAATATGCCATAAATTATAAGAGCTATCTACATAGAAGCCAACCAAAATTGTAAAAAAAAAATTTAAAAACTTGTGCATGCACTAAAAGTGTGATCGAGGGTATTTTTTAAATTTATTTTCACACTGGACTGGACTAGAAACCATTTGTGTCAAAAATTATGAGGTTCCGTTTGTGTAAAAAATAAGCAGATGTACAATGTCTAGATGTTGTGCTGTTGTTGCATATGTGTTGTCTGCATATGTCTAAGTTGCACATGTATTTGTTGCATATGTAGACGCTGCATTGGTTAATGCCTTTGCTCTCAGCTGTTGGTCCATGATTTATGGTTATACAAATGCATATATATATATATATATATATATATATATATATATATATATATATATATATATATATATATATATATATATATATATGTATATAAAATGTGCGTATATCTGGAGCGTGTAACAAAAGTTATATCCCTCTGGTATTATAAAAGTATGTCTGATTCTGATTCTACATCTATTAGGTCACTGTTTAACCATTGAATCTAACAATAACTAGCTTGTATGCCATTGACGACGAAATATCAAATTCAAAATGTTTAGAAAGAGCTAAATTATTATTTTCGAGTGTATTTCAGCTGTTATAATACTTACAGGATGAGTAGCCGTCTGAAGGTGTCGCAGACCTTTGGTTGGAGGACTGATAACTACAAAACTACTTAGCAAGCAACAATCCAGCTGCTTTAATGCAACCAAGATATACTGCGGGACAAACCCTTAATAAACATTACGAAAACTGGAAATGCACGTTAAATATTGCAGCTATCTATCTTTCAAGACTTACAGTGATTAGTTTTGCAGGTGAAAAGTAAACATAAAACGCGGAAGTATGTTGAATAAACTATCTTCTTCTTTTTCCTCCTCTTGTTGTGACGTTGAACAGCAAACAACGTGATGCTTTACCGCCATCAAGTGGCAATAAAGAGTATTGAGGTTTCCCTCATCATATTTGGAAATCATACAGGGGTTAAATCCGTCTGATGCTTTACTTCATCTATATCCAGAATCCAATTAGTTTTATTGGAAAAGTTATTTTTAATCGCTATTAGTCATTGATCTACTTGCAACCACTTCCAGCATGCATGAAATAGGACCTAAGCAGAGATTTAAAGGATGATTATAATTCCGGTTTTGATTTTCAGCAAGTGAACTATCAATTCAAGCCTTTTTAAGATTCATGGGCAATAAGGGGCCTATACAGCAACAGGATTTTGATTAAACTTCACTAAGTTTTACTAAAACGTTGTTCAGTCCACATATACACTATATTGCCAAAAGTATTTGCTCACCTGCCTTGACTCACATATGAGCTTAAGTGACATCCCGTTCCTAATCCATAGGGTTCAATATGACGTCGGTCCACCCTTTGCAGCTAGAACAGCTTCAACTCTTCTGGGAAGGCTGTCCACAAGGTTTAGGAGTGTGTTTATGGGAATTTTTGACCATTCTTCCAGAAGCGCATTTGTGAGGTCGCACACTGATGTTGGACGAGAAGGCCTGGCTCTCAGTCTCCGCTCTAATTCATCCCAAAGGTGTTCTATCGGGTTGAGGTCAGGACTCTGTGCAGGCCAGTCAAGTTCATCCACACCAGACTCTGTCATCCATGTCTTTATGGACCTTGCTTTGTGTACTGGTGCACAGTCATGTTGGAAGAGGAAGGGGCCAGCTCCAAACTGTTCCCACAAAGTTGGGAGCATGGAATTGTCCAAAATGTCTTGGTATGCTGAAGCATTCAGAGTTCCTTTCACTGGAACTAAGGGGCCAAGCCCAGCTCCTGAAAAACAACCCCACACCATAATCCCCCCTCCACCAAACTTTACACTTGGCACAATGCAGTCAGACAAGTACCGTTCTCCTGGCAACCGCCAAACCCAGACCCGTCCATCAGATTGCCAGATGGAGAAGCGCGATTCGTCACTCCAGAGAACGCGTCTCCACTGCTCTAGAGTCCAGTGGCGGCGTGCTTTACACCACCGCATCCGACGCTTTGCATTGCACTTGGTGATGTATGGCTTGGATGCAGCTGCTCGACCATGGAAACCCATTCCATGAAGCTCTCTGCGCACTGTTCTTGAGCTAATCTGAAGGCCACATGAAGTTTGGAGGTCTGTAGTGATTGACTCTGCAGAAAGTTGGCGACCTCTTCGCACTATGCGCGTCAGCATCCGCTGACCCCGCTCCGTCAGTTTACGTGGCCTACCACTTCGTGGCTGAGTTGCTGTCGTTCCCAAACACTTCCATTTTCTTATAATACAGCTGACAGTTGACTGTGGAATATTTAGGAGCGAGGAAATTTCACGACTGGATTTGTTGCACAGGTGGCATCCTATCACAGTTCCACGCTGGAATTCACTGAGCTCCTGAGAGCGACCCATTCTTTCACAAATGTTTGTAAAAACAGTCTGCATGCCTAGGTGCTTGAATTTATACACCTGTGGCCATGGAAGTGATTGGAACACCTGATTCCAATAATTTGGATGGGTGAGCAAATACTTTTGGCAATATAGTGTATACAAATAGTTACAGGTTTAATTTCTAAATGATTTTTTTTCCCCAAATTATTTTTCAATCTGATAACTTTTTGTTTTGCATCATCAATCATGAAATAAAGTTCCAGTAATGAGTGTTTGGAAGTTTTATTTTTTAAATAGCAAAGTTAATTTAAAGAATCTATATTAAAATAAAACAACCCTCAAATCTACACAAAGATTGCTGAAAGCACAAAACTTCATCTTTGATTTTTTATTGAGCAGTTTTTAATCAAGATAGATACAATTTAAAATCCTCACCCTACACCAAGGTTCAGAGGCATAAAAAAAATTTAATCAACACATCTTATTTATCAAAATCTCTACCAAGTATCACAGTTAAGATTAAACCCCTGAAGAAAGTTAAATGTGTATAAAAAAAATTCAACTTCAAATAAATCAGTGGAAAAAAAATGTTGGTTCATCTTTGAGTTCAGTTGAGTGCAGTTAAATCCAGAAACATTTTTAATGCATTTAGAATTGTATAAAATCCCTGTAGGGGAATTGCAGGGGGGCTTACATGTACATATGTAGATGTGTATACGTATATATATATATATATATATATATATATATATATATAAAGAGAGAGAGGGGGTATGAATAATAAGTTTTACTTCTTCATACCCCTTTTCAGACAATTTCCGATAATCAATGTTAGTTCTCTGGCTGTACATACTGACTGGTTTGTTTGGTGGAGGGTTTTGTTTCTATTTATGTTCAGGTAAATTTTGTTTGTTTTGAAATATGTGTTTGGTTTGCTTTATGTTAACTAGTCTTTTGTGTCTTTTGGTTGGTTCATTTATTGTTGTTTGTCAAATAGTCTGGAATAAATTCCTATTCATTCATTTATTCTTTCAATCTTCTTTAAGGAACCTTTTCTATTCGATTATTAATCAGAAAAAATAATCAATCGACTAACCAAATAACCATTAATTGAAGCAAATGTTCCTTCTAATTCTCATGTGCCTGATCATCCATACAGGTCCCCGAAAAACAGAGGACTCCAATGAATGACTGACATCAGATGTGCACCCTCAGGCCATACACCATTACCTGGGATCAGCGAGTTACATTGTATTTTTTATAGAATGAAATACTACAGCAGCAGCTTCCATTAGTTTACTTTAGATTTAAGTGATTTTGCCCACTTAAAATGAAAAAAGAAAACCCCCAAAACTTGTTGGTCATGAGATTTTTAGTATGCTATAAGCAAGAGTCCTGCTCTTGCTTATAGCATTGTGAAAATTTTCCTCACATTAAAACCTTCACAGTTTGCGCAATAAAATGTGTGCTGTAGCGTGTGATATAGTATAAAATCCTGTAAATCTGAAATTTTTTAGCTACAAAGTTTTTTTTAGCATTTCTTCTATCATAAATTATATTATAGTATGAGCCTTTCATGATTAATATCCATAAATAAATAAAAAATTAATAAACGTCGCTAGAATATGACCAAATTTGACTTCAGTTTCTGTCCTTTTCACTTCTCCAATGCCACTTTAAGATGCTTGTGGATGCCGTTTTAAAAAGATTAATTAAACCCAACTTTTCACAATCAGCAATGGATGCTTGAAATCTAACAGAAATATCAACAAGCGGTGAGATCTCCTTTAGCTCCTCCTCTAGGTTTTGCAGCCACCATATCTGACAATGTGCTGATTGATGCCTGTTACATTTTTCCTTCATCATATACTTGAAATTATCAGAGTAAAAAAAAACAGGTGTGTCTTTAACCGTGTGCATGTTGGAAAGCCGGGCTGTTACAAACCAGTGAGAGTTTCATTGTTCTGGGAGCCTTGACCGATAAATAAATTTGGGCCGTCACATACTTTACTTCATGTTGGATATTTTTTTTATGCAACTGTAAAACTCTTTGATGCACTGAATAAAGACATTTGCGGAACCTATTCATCAAAATACAACTCTTAAATGTATTAATTTTTATTACAACACTGATTTTGATATATTTGAAAGTGGGACTGAATAGAAGATGTTTCATCAAAACAGCTGATTTTCAGTAAAGCTGTCTGGCACATCTAGCATGCAGGAGGCTGAGGTAATTTGTGATAATAGTCATAAAGACAAGATGCTGTAAGACATGTAGTTCAGCAGGCCTATGGCCAACAAAATAACTGTTTTCTCTATATTATGTGATGAAATTTGGGGGACGGGAGAAGTCGGTTGTTTCTCGTATTTTCATTGTTGGTTTTAAGTTGAAAAAGGAACAATACACATATTCAAAATGATACAGAAAAAAATGTATTGGTTTAATTAATTTACAGCTTATGTTTGATTTTATCTTATGCACTGCATAGATTTTCTTGTGCGCTAAGATTGCGCAAGCCCCGAGTTTAGAAGGAATATTGGTTGCAGCCCTAATCAAATCTGAGATTACTATGAAAATATAATTTCAAGTTTACTCCAAACAGTCTTTCTGCAAAAAATGTTGCAGCATAAAAAGGAACAAAATAATACATTTACCAGCTTTAATTTGATGTGCAACATATACATAATAATAATAATAATATCATAACACAATAAATCATTTTTTAAATAAAAAAGATTTTTGATTTTGCCTATTAAATTTTGTTAATGCCAATCATTTTATCTGTTGGCCAGTGGTCTGTAACCCATTTCCCCCTCCAGCTGCTCTGCAGTGAGTGAGCCAAGCAGAGGCTGACAGTCTGGGTTGAAGACAGAATAAGCACTTAGTTCTCCTGGTTTCCTGGGTTCTGGGCTGCGCAGTCCTTCATAAAGCCAGTAGAACAGGGAGATAACAAAGAATGGCAGGCCAAATTCCAGTTCAACAAAAAGACCCAGAAGAACCAGCCAGAGCAGCACTTTGAGCAGCATAATGTTGGAGAGGACCAGTTGTCTTGACGATAACCATCTTCCCAGAGTACTGTCAAGCATCCAGTCACTACAACTCTGTAAGGACACATAACAACAAGTCAGAGGCTAACAAGGTTATAAAAAAAAATGATAGGGGGTTTGGCCAATTGAAGCTGATGAAGATTTTTCTTTATGTAGATGTTTTGCTCAACCGAGAAATGTTTTTACAAATTATAAATTATTGCACAACTTTAGAAACAACAAGAAAAAAGACACACAAGTGACTGATTGAAAACTGGTGCTTCTTGAACACAAATCTTTAAAGTATTTAGTAAAACTTCCCTATGATTAATGTGGTGAAATCTGTCTCCGATCCGCAGTAAGATATCATGATGCACTTTTTAAAAATAAATCTTGATTATACTCAGAATTTCAATGAGGTTAACAATCAAGCTAAAAGCTTGTTTAAAATTTGAATTAAAATACCAAAGGCAGGCAATATTCTAATGCTTTAACTGCATCCAGTAGTTTGCCTTCAGAACCTCATAGGTTTTTCTTAAGAACTCATAATAAAACCACAAAGTAGCTGGCAAACACTGGAAACACAAAATTTTCCTTACTTTTTTAAACCTGTATAAAAAAAAAAAAAATTAAATGAATGAATCAAAAATCTGTGTTATTTAATCAGGCGTTTCCAACTTATCAGACTGAGCTTGGGCTGTTTATCAAAAAAAGAAGAAGAAGAAGAAACAACAATTACACACCTTTGACATATTTATACATTAGAGTTTTTAAAAACCATGTAGAAATTTCTCCCACTCACTTTTTTTTTGTTTAACATAAAATCCCAATAGAATTCCCTTGTAATCTGTAGTCACATGAATAATTTTTGTATACCACTGCATTGATAAAAACGGAAGAGGATTAGCGCCACTGAAAAAAAAAAAAAGTTAACTGATTTTTTTTTATTTTATTTCAGTATAGTATGGGAAAAAAGTCAGAATTGTGACTTTAATCTCAGAATTCTGAGAAAAAAGTCAGAATTCTGACTTTAATCTGAAAATTCTGACTTTAATCTGAGAATTCTGACTTTTTTATTGTCAGAATTCAGTCAGAATTCTGAGATTAAAGTCAGAATTCTGACTTTTTTCCCATGTTAAACTGAAATAAAATGTAAAAATCAGTTTTCTTTTTTTTTTCAGTGGCCCTAATCCTCTTCCGTAGATAAAAGTTCAGCACTGACATGATAACAGGAAAAATCATAGAAGTTTTAAAACAATATGTATTTATCTATTGCATTCAGGAATTTTAATAAGTAGCTTTTGAATGCATCTTCAGTGATTTATTATTTTTACAGATTTTCTTTTAGAAAACAAAATTAAAATCACCATATTTGTATATTTACCTCGATCACATCTAATCTTTCCATTAAAATGTGAATCGTTTATTAGTTTTGAATAGTTTTACCAGTTTAATAGCCACATTTTGAAGAGTTTTCGTTAAAATCAATTTAAATCGTGCTGATATTGATCTCTTACCCTGCCTGGAGAGCTGTTAGTTGCAGTTTGGTTGTTTTCTGGCCCCTCTGCTTGCTGACTGTTGTCTGCCTGTACAACAGGATCTCCTTCTCTCTTTTCTCTGGGCTGAGCAGCAGAAGGGTCGGACATTTGCGTGCCTTTCACCGCCTGTCGTCGGGCTCTAAACTCCGCCAGCTTTTGCTCCATAGATGTGAATAATCCAAGTTCAACCTGGAAAAGTGCCCTTTACGCCACAACAAAAGAATAAACTCTCCTTTTCTTGACACTTTAATGAAAAAAACAAATCCGACTGCCTCGCACGTCAATTTAGGTTACTTTTTGGAGAAATTTCAACTGGTTAGAATCGTTATCGAGGCATGTTTACGTACTACGTGTTCTATCATAAAAAAGGAGGTATTGTCGCCAACTGTCGTAAAGCGTCGGTTTACGGGATTTTTCGATATTTCCTTGGGGTTGTTTGTTGCTAGCTTTCAGGTTTGGTGTCTTCATCAGTGGTGAGAACATTAACTCATAACGTTTAATGTATTTAGGTTATTTTACCTTTCTGTTGATATTTCGTCACTGCTTCCGGTTTCCTTTCATTAGGGAAATACCAGATGTGCTAATGTTATAAGTTAGTGCCGATTAAAAAAAACATAACTCATGGTTTCCTTTATATTTGAACGTATGTTTTGTCATATTATTTGTACATTAGTGCCATTTTTCTACATATTAGTTACAAACCGCTACTTTTATGAATGTTAAAGATAAAAAATTAACTAGCTTGACTTATGTGGCCAATTTAATGTAGATATAAAATACTTAGCTGTTAAATTATTTGGTAGTTATTGTGTCATTTGTGTTCCAGACATCATGGCCTCTGCTCCAGCTCAGCAACCCACCCTGACCGCTGAACAGACCCGATGTAAGAGGAACATGGTTCCCCTTATTTTTTTTTTTTATAAAAAACAAAAACAACATTCAAACGTGGAGTATGAATGTTGATTAGGTTCTGTCAAGATCATCTAGTGTTCCTCTTACAGACCTGTAATAGACCACATTTGCTCAGTGATTGCTTTATGCAACCCCATGTAATCAGGGAGCTAGGTGGGGGGCCAGCCAAACATTGACCACCCCTACCTTTTTTCCCCCCTCTAATATAGATTGTTGCAGCAATAATACACTCAAGTGGAATGTTCAAAACATTTTAATTTTTCATATATTATAATTTTTTCATATATTCATAATCGCTTGACAACAACCACTGTTTAATTATACACATCAATTTACTAGCATTAAAGATATGTACAAAATTCACGCTTTTTTCAGAAGTTGATTTTGTGTTATATGGGGTAAAGAGAGAATGATGTCTCTCTGTAAGTCATGTGGGAGTCTTCAGTGAAATCATAACTATTTTGATAAAAAAAAGGTATTAATCAATTTATATCAATTTTGTGCAGAAGGATTATTGATACATGGAGGTAAGTAATGACAATGGAAAATGTTTGTCCCAGAGCTCAAATCTGAAAGAATTTTATCTATTATACCTAAATATATGCATCTGTTTTTTTAGCAAAAGCTGTAGGAAAGGATAGTTTGTCTTGTCTTTGGCTTGACCCTGAGGTTCTGGCGCCTAGTTGCTTTCGGCCACCCCTAAGTGTACATTGATTATTGCCTGGCCACCCTTATAAAAATTTCCTGGCTACACCTCTGCATCTAATCCTGTAAGAAGGCATTTATAAAACAAATAATTGGTGGATAGTTCAGAGGCTGCTGACCGAACACATGGCGATTAAGAAACCTGTGCTTTACCCTGACAGATGGGATGTTTTTAACTAATTAACTATGACACATCCAGTCGAAACCTTTGAAGCTACCATTTGCTTATAGTTTGTTTTACATCAGTGGTAGTCAGCTTAATGCCACCCATTTGTTGATTTTGCATACCTGCTTAATCCTTGTGGCAGGATTCCAGTCGGTAGACCCACACTCAAAGTTGAACACACTGTGTATACTGGCTTACTAATGTTGTCCTTTGTCATTTTACAAATTATCTTACTAACTATGCAGTTTATCCTACATCTCATGGTAGCTTTTTTACCTATCAAGGTGGCTCAGAAACTTAACTGAGATAAGATAGAGAAATGCAGAAGAGAAACAGCCATCCATGCACATGTATCAAACAGCAATTTTAGAGTTCGCAATTATCCTAACATACATTATTTTTCTATATGCATCTTAGTCTAAAATTTGAGCCACATCTAAATATATTTTAAGACAGAAATACACATTTATCTAAATCACTGTGGTTTAGGGTGAACTGAATAAACCAGTTACACTATTACAGTTTGTTTTCCCTCTGTGAAGGCATTCATTTGTAACTTTAAATGACGGATACTTTGGTTCTGCAGTGGTGTTGAGTGAGGTGATCCAGGCCTTTTCAGTGCCAGAGAATGCTGCACGAATGGAGGAGGCTCGGGAAAGCGCCTGTAACGACATGGGAAAGATGCTGCAGCTCGTGCTTCCTGTGGCCACTCAGATTCAGCAGGAAGTGATCAAAGCATATGGATTCAACAATGAAGGAGAAGGTAGTTATTAACTAAAATACTCAACAATGGATCTTTAAGAAATACAACTTAGAAATGAAAAGTTTTCTCTTTTTTTTTTTGTACCCAGATTTAAAAAATTCTACAGATTTAAACTGTGAACATGCACTATTTATTTTTTTTAAACCAAGGTTTGTAAGATATCTAGATGGGAAATTTTAAATTTTCTAGACTTAAATGTTTCTTTTTCCAAAGTTAACCTTAAAACAAGTAATTGTTCTAAAGTAAAAGGGAAAAAAATGTAAAAGTTTTTAAAATAACCTTACAGTGGGAACTATATATATGAATTTGTTAATAGTTCTTTTGCTTCTTTTACAGGCGTCCTTAAATTTGCTCGACTGGTGAAAATGTATGAAACCCAGGACCCTGAAATTGCAGCCATGTCTGCAAAACTGAAGTCTCTCCTCCTGCCGCCGTTGTCAACACCCCCTATAGGAGGCGCCATTCCTGCTTCATAGGATTTAGTCTTGACCAGGTCTAATTCAGGGGTGCTTTATTTTTATGCTTTGCAATTCCTTATGCCATTATGTATTTAAGGTCCAATTTTTGTATGTAATATGTTTGATACCACTAATGTTTTTAAAAAAAGTATTCATTCAATGCTTCTTGCAAACCCTTGAAATATTTCCTCACACATTGTATTTGTTACATGTAACACTATATCCACTTTATTCCACTGAAACATTTACTTTAATGCCATCTTTTTTTTAAATAACTTTATATGCTGTCAGATGTTTTCATTATACTGTAGAATTAAATATTCAGTTTTTCTGATGTGTATTTTATGAAGTGTGGGAGAAAAAAAACTATGGTATAGATACTTTATTATTTCTTCAAGTCTTTAAATCACACTTACATTTTAAAAACATTTACATTCATACATTTCATTAGACAATGTTTTCCAGGATAAAATCTTATACATCTGCTTCCTGTTTGAATAAATGAAGACAATGCAGTGCATAATAAAACAGGATAAAGTGACATTGACTCCAACATATTGCTCCTAAAATGCTACATAATTCAACTTGGTGAAAAAAGTGCTCCATACAGTAATTTAAGTGCATAGGATGCGGAACTCCACCCACCCAGTAATCGGAGTTGAACACAGAGATAACCAATGAGCAGGTGATCATCCTGCTTCACTCCTCTGTGTCCTACTTCTTATTCCCCAGGTCCAGTGAAGTTGCTGTGCAAGTGGAAAAAAGTGCTCCAAGTAAAATGCAATCAAAGTTCCTTCCACTGGGAGTCAGCAAGCACCTGCCTCTCGGTGAATAATATTGTATTTTACACACACAAAAACAAAAAAATCCAGAGTCCAGTGTTTGCACATTTGAAATCCTGATGGATGAGTTCATTGTTTGCACAGAGCTGTCTTCCATTGAACAGTAATTCAGCTCCCAACTCTTATCAAAAGGAAAATGGAAGGGTGCAAGTCCCCAGATCCTGACCTCACATCTCAAAGTGGCGGAAAATGCTTTCGACATACGCCAGGACTTTCTGCCAGTCCGGCCCATCTGCCTTCAGCATCTCCTCCACTGTCTGTTACAAAGTAAATTAGTAAAGACATCAGAGTACGAAACTAAAGAAGCTCAACTTTTAAATTTTTCAGCACTCAAGGTTCTTAAAATCTAAATAAAACGTGCAGCTCCGTAATAATTTTTGTCAAGACTAGCTAACTTCTTTGATATCAAGTCGATGTGATGATTGGTCTCTGTTTAAAGACCCATACATTATTCCATTTATGGTAAAGCGAAAAGGTTGTCCTTTACAGATGGTAAGGTGAAAAGTTCATGAATACTTTGACGTGTTTGGAACCAACAAGTCTTCATAAAGCTTGCACTTCACCAGACCTCTTTCTCTCTTCCTGCACCTTGGATGCCAGAAAGTTTTGGAGCTCAGGGCTTTAAAATTTGTAATTTTTTAAGACTATAACATGAATAAAAAGACACTAATACAATCTAACCAACAAAAGTCAGCAATACATTTAAACTAGAAGAAATCTTACATTTATCAGAGCTCATGTAGTGTGTGGGTTAGAAGAAAAAAAAGGCTCACCAGTGTTGCTGGGATTCCCACACTCTCTCCCACCTTAAATGCAATGTCCAGGTTTCCCTCCTGCCCAAAGAGCAGTGCAAGTTTTATATGGATTCAGAATAACTATTGGCTTTTACCAATTATAGACAAAATTTTCAATATAATCGACATTTGCATAAACACCTCTTATATTTGGATAAATAAAATCACTGCCTCCAAAGAGCTGAGAGTCTTCCATGTGCTTCGTTACTCTATCCAGGTCGGATTTTTGATCAAGTTTGCTAGCATTATAAAACTATGCCTATGATAATGCATGTTTTATATGCATGGTCAGTAATTTGCAGGTGCAGATCTGGAGTACCTTCCAGAAATCACCTGCAATACATCTGAGCAAACCATTTGTTGTAATTTTCCAAACAAAACAACCTTGTTTCTTTGCAAGGTAGCAGTTTTACCTTGTCAGATGGCCTCAGGCTGTCATAAGGAATATGAGTTGGTAAGAAGGTGTGATAGATGGCACAGAATGCCAACCCATCCTCCCAGCACGTACTGAAATTGGTAATCTCGATATTCTGTTGCAGACGGGAAAAAGACAAAAACAAACAGAATTAAAAAATATTTACCTACCTGTTGACCTACATTCAACATAGACAGTATTCCACACAAGGCTCTAACCTTATAACCTTTGGTACGGGTTTGGCACCACCGCAGAAGAGAGTTTCTTCTGGAGCCACCATGACGCCTCAGCAAAGCACTGAAACCATCCTGAGGTCTGTTCAAGACAGTGTGAAAGTGCTTTAATGCCAGTTTATATCTCTAAAGTCAAGCAATAATGTTGCGTTTGACAACATTTATTTAAAGTCTTTTGAAAGAAAAATTCAGAGGAATCTCTGCAATAAATGTGAATATCAGTGAAAAGGATTTTTTAAATAAGACTTTAAACTATCCCCCTTTTGGCATAATTAATAACATCAACGCAACATGAAGCTACAGTAATCAACCCCTGGAACTGCTAAAGTGCTGAGAAAGCCCAGATAATTATCAGCCTCGAATCAGTCTGGCTCAGACCATCTAATGTCTGGATTCTTCCTCTAATTCATTCTCTACAGAGTTTTGATCAGGTATCATTTGCTGCCAATCTAGTGTTGTCATGGTCATTAACTGTGTGTTGGTGCCCTGAGCAGTGTGGACAGCTACTATGTTCTGTTGAGAAATTAAATTAGTATCCCTTGAAAGTTTGTCAGCAAAGAGAAGCATTAAGTATTTTAAAAATCTACGGTTAATTAATACAGTGACTCTAAACTTGAATTAACAGTAGAAGAACAGCAGCAGGTGGCACAATTCCTGCAAGTCTAACTACATTTCACAAACATAAAGAAACCTCTGTCTTCTGTACTTGGCCTTCCTCTTAAGTCTGACACTTTTTGAAATAAAAATGCTAATTTTATCCTCATCTGGAAAGTGGATTTTGCACCACTATGGAGAAGTGCATTGCTTTTTGTCTTTAGCCCAAGTGCTTCTATGATCCCTGGTTTAGGGGCAGCTTAATAGTAGAGACAGACATTTGAAGCCCATTTCCCAGAATAAGGTTTTTGTTCCACATCATTTCAAGGTTGCAGTTATTCCCTTTACTTACACCTTTTGTAAACTCCACCTAAACTGTCAAATGTTTTAACCCTTTGTGCACAATACATTCAATTCTGATGTTTATTGCAATATCATGGTAATCACTGACAAAGGGCCACTTATATGCAATATTTTGTAGACTATAATTTTAAGTTATAAAAGATCTGAATAAGAGATTATACAGTTTATAGAGAGAAGTCAGGGCATGGTTAGAATGGGGAAAAAAAGTTGGCAAATGAAAGCCATTGATTTTACAATGTTGATTAATACTGAAGTTTTTTTTTGTAAGTACAGCCTCACTTTCCATTAAAACAAGTGTATTCCTACTTTATGGCTAGATTTACACACAGTATTCTTTTGAACTACCCTCTTTTTTAAGGTTTTCAATGTCTTCTGGACAACTGGCAAGCTTTCTTTAGTTGTGGCTGACCATAACATGGCAATAATAATTTTTATGTAAAAAACAACAACATTTTTTTAGCCTGATTTATTATAAAATTGTGCATAGAAATTCTAAGTAAATGTTTGAAAATTAATTAATTTGTTTCAGTTCCTATTCTGATTTAGCAACACTGTATAAACCTCGACCCATACTGTTCTTTAAGAGATATACACTCACCGGCCACTTTATTAGGTACCCCATGCTAGTAACGGGTTGGACCCCCTTTTGCCTTCAGAACTGCCTCAATTCTTCGTGGCATAGATTCAACAAGGTGCTGGAAGCATTCCTCAGGGAGTTTGGTCCATATTGACATGATGGCATCACACAGTTGCCACAGATTTGTCGGCTGCACATCCATGATGCGAATCTCCCGTTCCACCACATCCCAAAGATGCTCTATTGGATTGAGATCTGGTGACTGTGGAGGCTATTTGAGTACAGTGAACTCATTGTCATGTTCAAGAAACCAGTCTGAGATGATTCCAGCTTTATGACATGGCGCATTATCCTGCTGAAAGTAGCCATCAGAAGTTGGGTACATTGTGGTCATAAAGGGATGGACATGGTCAGCAACAATACTCAGGTAGGCTGTGGCGTTGCAACGATGCTCAATTGGTACCAAGGGGCCCAAAGAGTGCCAAGAAAATATTCCCCACACCATGACACCACCACCACCAGCCTGAACCATTGATACAAGGCAGGATGGATCCATGCTTTCATCTTGTAGACGCCAAATTCTGACCCTACCATCCGAATGTCGCAGCAGAAATCGAGACTCATCAGACCAGGCAACGTTTTTCCAATCTTCTGTTGTCCAATTTCAATGAGCTTGTGCAAATTGTAGCCTCAGTTTCCTGTTCTTAGCTGAAAGGAGTGGCACCCGGTGTGGTCTTCTGCTGCTGTAGCCCATCTGCCTCAAAGTTCGACGTACTGTGCGTTCAGAGATGCTCTTCTGCCCACCTTGGTTGTAACGGGTGGTTATTTGAGTCACTGTTGCCCTTCTATCAGCTCGAACCAGTCTGGCCATTCTCCTCTGACCTCTGGCATCAACAAGGCATTTCCGCCTACAGAACTGCCGCTCACTGGATGTTTTTTCTTTTTCGGACCATTCTCTGTAAACCCTAGAGATGGTTGTGCGTGAAAATCCCAGTAGATCAGCAGTTTCTGAAATACTCAGACCAGCCCTTCTGGCACCAACAATCATGCCACGTTCAAAGTCACTCAGATCACCTTTCTTCCCCATACTGATGCTCGGTTTGAACTGCAGGAGATTGTCTTGACCATGTCTACATGCCTAAATGCACTGAGTTGCCGCCATGTGATTGGCTGCTTAGAAATTAAGTGTTAATGAGCAGTTGGACAGGTGTACCTAATAAAGTGGCCGGTGAGTGTAGGTGACATTTAATGACCTTCCTTTCACACAAATATTTCAACACCAACCAAAGCAATAAAACAGCAGCTTACTTTACAGAATCTGAGGTTTGATCCTCCTCTTGGTTCCCTTTGAAACAAAAAGATAATCAGAAAATTATGAGTCTAAAAAAAAAATATATATATATATATATATATATATATATATATATATATATTTTAATATATCAATTTTATATGCAGTCCTTCTCATCACAGCTGAGGAAAGTCTAGAGCTCAATATTTTTTGTAGAACAGAAATTTCTCCCTGGTAGGAAGGGGATTTTTGTGTCTTTGTGTTCCACATATACATATTCTAGAACCATCTCTGCAGTCACAAGTGCAAGTCACTCAAGAGGTATTCTTCCACTATAAAACCATTATGTAAAACAGTTAATTATGTAGCCCGATGCAAGGCAGTTTTAAACTATAATCTGCAGTGTAGTTAAATGGATTTAAAGTGTCAAGG